GCCAGGGAGAACGGAAACGCTCGTTTCTCAAAAAGTAGAGGGAATCTAATGGTCTCACTCGATCAGAAGGTGGGAAATATATAAATCTAGTCAGCTAAAAAGGTTTGAAATGTATTAAACGCACATGTATAGAGAAAATGGTGCATTGGCCAGGTCGGTCAGTATCGGAACTTAAAATGCAAATGCCAGGGAGAACGGAAGCGCTCAGATCTCGCATAGTACACGGAATCAAGTGGTCTCACTCAAATAGAAAGTAGGAAATAAATTCATCTAGTGAACGTAAGGGTTTGAAAGGTAACTAACGCACATGTGTAGAGAAAATTGTGCATCGGCCAGTCTGGCCGGCATTTCGCACTTATAGTGCAACTAGGGCCAAGGAGAACGGAAACGCTCATTTCTCAAAAAGTAGAGGGAATCTAGCGGTCTCACTTGATCAGAAGGTGGGAAATATATAAATCTAGTAAGCTAATAAGGTTCGATAGGAATCTAATGCATATGTATATGGAAAATGGTGCATTGGCCAGGTCGGTCAGTATGGGAACTTAGAGTGCAAATGCCAGGGAGAACGGAAGCGCTCAGATCTCGCATAGTACACGGAATCTAGTGGTCTCACTCAAATAGAAGGTAGGAAATAAATTCATCTAGTGAACGTAAGGGTTTGAAAGGTAACTAACACACATGTGTAGAGAAAATGGTGCATCGGCCAGTCTGACCGGCATTTCGCACTTATAGTGCAAGTAGGGCCAAGGAGAACGGAAACGCTCATTTCTCAAAAAGTAAAGGGAATCTAGCAGTCTCACTCGATCAGAAGGTGGGAAATATATAAATCTAGTGAGCCAATAAGGTTCGAAAGGAATCTAATGCATATGTATATGGAAAATGGTGCATTGGCCAGGTCGGTCAGTATGGGAACTTAGAGTGCAAATGCCAGGGAGAACGGAAGCGCTCAGATCTCGCATAGTACACGGAATCTAGTGGTCTCACTCAAATAGAAGGTAGGAAATAAATTCATATAGTGAACGTAAGGGTTTGAAAGGTAACTAACGCACATGTGTAGAGAAAATGGAGCATCGGCCAGTCTGGCCGGCATTTCGCACTTATAGTGCAAGTAGGGCCAAGGAGAATGGAAACGCTCATTTCTCAAAAAGTAAAGGGAATCTAGCACTCTCACTCGATCAGAAGGTGGGAAATATATAAATCTAGTGAGCTTATAAGGTTCGAAAGGAATCTAATGCATATGTATATGGAAAATGGTGCATTGGCCAGGTCGGTCAGTATGGGAACTTAAAGTGCAAATGCCTGGGAGAACGGAACCGCTCAGATCTCGCATAATACACGGAATCTAGTGGTCTCACTCAAATATAAGGTAGGAAATATATTCATCTAGTGAACGTAAGGGTTTGAAAGGTAACTAACGCACATGTGTAGAGAAAATGGTGCATCGGCCAGTCTGGCCGGCATTTCGCACTCATAGTGCAGGTGGGGCCAGGGAGAACGGAAACGCTCGTTTCTCAAAAAGTAGAGGGAATCTAATGGTCTCACTCGATCAGAAGGTTGGAAATATATAAATCTAGTCAGCTAAAAAGGTTTGAAATGTATTCAACGCACATGTATAGAGAAAATGGTGCATTGGCCAGGTCGGTCAGTATCGGAACTTAAAATGCAAATGCCAGGGAGAATGGAAGCGCTCAGATCTCGCATAGTACACGGAATCAAGTGGTCTCACTCAAATAGAAAGTAGGAAATAAATTCATCTAGTGAACGTAAGGGTTTGAAAGGTAACTAACGCACATGTGTAGAGAAAATTGTGCATCGGCCAGTCTGGCCGGCATTTTGCACTTATAGTGCAACTAGGGCCAAGGAGAACGGAAACGCTCATTTCTCGAAAAGTAGAGTGAATCTAGCGGTCTCACTTGATCAGAAGGTGAGAAATATATAAATCTAGTAAGCTAATAAGGTTCGAAAGGAATCTAATGCATATGTATATGGAAAATGGTGCATTGGCCAGGTCGGTCAGTATGGGAACTTAGAGTGCAAATGCCAGGGAGAACGGAAGCGCTCAGATCTCGCATAGTACACGGAATCTAGTGGTCTCACTCAAATAGAAGGTATGAAATAAATTCATCTAGTGAACGTAAGGGTTTGAAAGGTAACTAACACACATGTGTAGAGAAAATGGTGCATCGGCCAGTCTGGTCGGCATTTCGCACTTATAGTGCAAGTAGGGCCAAGGAGAACGGAAACGCTCATTTCTCAAAAAGTTAAGGGAATCTAGCGGTCTCACTCGATCAGAAGGTGGGAAATATATAAATCTAGTCAGCTAATAAGGTTCGGAAGGAATCTAATGCATATGTATATGGAAAGTGGTGCATTGGCCAGGTCGGTCAGTATGGGAACTTAGAGTGCAAATGCCTGGGAGAACGGAACCGCTCAGATCTCGCATAATGCACGGAATCTAGTGGTCTCACTCAAACATAAGGTAGGAAATATATTCATCTAGTGAACGTAAGGGTTTGAAAGGTAACTAACGCACATGTGTAGAGAAAATGGTGCATCGGCCAGTCTGGCCGGCATTTCGCACTCATAGTGCAGGTGGGGCCAGAGAGAACGGAAACGCTCGTTTCTCAAAAAGTAGAGGGAATCTAATGGTCTCACTCGATCAGAAGGTGGGAAATATATAAATCTAGTCAGCTAAAAAGGTTTGAAATGTATTCAACGCACATGTATAGAGAAAATGGTGCATTGGCCAGGTCGGTCAGTATCGGAACTTAAAATGCAAATGCCAGGGAGAACGGAAGCGCTCCTCTTTCGCATAGTACACGGAATCAAGTGGTCTCACTCAAATAGAAAGTTGGAAATATATTCATCTAGTGAACGTAAGGGTTTGAAAGGTAACTAACGCACATGTGTAGAGAAAATGGTGCATCGGCCAGTCTGGCCGGCATTTCGCACTTATAGTGCAACTAGGGCCAAGGAAAACGGAAACGCTCATTTCTCAAAAAGTAGAGGGAATCTAGCGGTATCACTCGATCAGAAGGTGGGAAATATATAAATCTAGTGAGCTAATAAGGTTCGAAAGGAATCTAATGCATATGTATATGGAAAATGGTGCATTGGCCAGGTCGGTCAGTATGGGAACTTAGAGTGCAAATGCCAGGGAGAACGGAAGCGTTCAGATCTCGCATAGTACACGGAATCTAGTGGTCTCACTCAAATAGAAGGTAGGAAATAAATTCATCTAGTGAACGTAATGGTGTGAAAGGTAACTAACGCACATGTGTAGAGAAAATGGTGCATCGGCCAGTCTGGCCGGCATTTCGCACTTATAGTGCAAGTAGGGCCAAGGAGAACGGAAACGCTCATTTCTCAAAAAGTAAAGGGAATCTAGCGGTCTCACTCGATCAGAAGGTGGGAAATATATAAATCTAGTGAGCTAATAAGGTTCGGAAGGAATCTAATGCATATGTATATGGAAAGTGGTGCATTGGCCAGGTCGGTCAGTATGGGAACTTAGAGTGCAAATGCCTGGGAGAACGGAACCGCTCAGATCTCGCATAATACACGGAATCTAGTGGTCTCACTCAAGTATAAGGTAGGAAATATATTCATCTAGTGAACGTAAGGGTTTGAAAGGTAACTAACGCACATGTGTAGAGAAAATGGTGCATTGGCCACTCTAGCCGGCATTTCGCACTCATAGTGCAGGTGGGGCCAGGGAGAACGGAAACGCTCGTTTCTCAAAAAGTTGAGGGAATCTAACGGTCTCACTTGTTGAGAAGGTGGGAAATATATAAATATAGTCAGCTAAAAAGGTTTGAAATGTATTCAATGCACATGTATAGAGAAAATGGTGCATTGGCCAGGTCGGTCAGTATCGGAACTTAAAATGCAAATGCCAGGGAGAACGGAAGCGCTCAGATCTCGCATAGTACACGGAATCAAGTGGTCTCACTCAAATAGAAAGTAGGAAATCTATTCATCTAGTGAACGTAAGGGTTTGAAAGGTAACTAACGCACATGTGTAGAGAAAATTGTGCATCGGCCAGTCTGGCCGGCATTTCGCACTTATAGTGCAACTAGGGCCAAGGAGAACGGAAACGCTCATTTCTCAAAAAGTAGAGGGAATCTAGCGGTCTCACTCGATCAGAAGGTGGGAAATATATAAATCTAGTGAGCTAATAAGGTTCGAAAGGAATCTAATACATATGTATATGGAAAATGGTGCATTGGCTAGGTCGGTCAGTATGGGAACTTAGAGTGCAAATGACATGGACGTGGACGTGGACGTGGACGTGGACATGGACATGGACGTGGACATGGACGTGGACGTGGACATGGACGTGGATGTGGACATGGACGTGGAAGTGTCCATGTCCACGTCCACGTCCACGTCTATGTCCACGTCCACGTTCACGTCCACGTCCATGTCCATGTCCATGTCCACGTCCACGTCCATGTCCACGTCCACGTCCATGTCCAAGTCCATGTCCCTGTCTACGTCCACGTCCACGTCCATGTCCACGTCCACGTCCTCGTCCACGTCCAGGTCCACGTCCATGTCCACGTCCACGTCCACGTCCACGTCCATGTCCACGTCCAAGTCCATGTCCACGACCACGTCCACGTTCACGACCACGTCCACGTCCACGTCCACGTCCACGTCCACGTCTAAGTCCATATCCACGTCCACGTCCATGTCCACGTCCACGTCCATGTCCACGTCCACGTCCACGTCCATGTCCACGTCCACGTCCATGTCCACGTCCACGTCCACGTCCACGTCCACGTCCATGTCCACGTCCACGTCCACTCCACGTCCACCTCCACGTCCACGTCCACCTCCACGTCCACGTCCACGTCCACGTCCACGTCCACGTCCACGTCCATGTCCATGTCCAGGTCCACGTTCACGTCCATGTCCACGTCCAAGTTCTCCACGTCCACGTCCACGTCCACGTCCACGTCCATGTCCACGTCCACGTCCATGTCCACGTCCATGTTCACGTCCACGTCTTGTCCACGTCCACGTCCATGTCCACGTCCACGTCCACGTCCACGTCCACGACCATGTCCGCGTCCACGTCCATGTCCACGTCCACGTCCATGTCCACGTCCATGTCCACGTCCACGTCCACGTCCACGTCCACGTCCACGTCCATGTCCACGTCCACGTCCACGTCCATGTCCACGTCCAAGTCCTCCACGTTCACGTCCACGTCCACGTTCACGTCCTTGTCCACGTCCAAGTTCTCCACGTCCACGTCCACGTCCACGTCCACGTCCTCCACGTCCACGTCCACGTCCACGTCCACGTCCACGTCCACGTCCATGTCCACGTCCACGTCCACTCCACGTCCACTCCACGTCCACGTCCACGTCCACGTCCACGTCCATGTCCACGCCCATGTCCACGTCCACGTCCACGTCCACGTCCACGTCCACGTCCACGTCCATGTCCACGTCCACGTCCATGTCCACGTCCACGTCCACGTCCACGTCCACGTCCACGTCCACGTCCACGTCCACGTCCATGTCCACGTCCACGTCCACGTCCATGTCCACGTCCAAGTCCTCCACGTCCACGTCCACGTCCACGTTCACGTCCAAGTCTACGTCCAAGTTCTCCACGTCCACGTCCACGTCCACGTCCACGTCCTCCACGTCCACGTCCACGTCCACGTCCACGTCCACGTCCATGTCCACGTCCACGTTCACTCCACGTCCACTCCACGTCCACGTCCACGTCCATATCCACGTCCATGTCCACGTCCACGTCCACGTCCATGTCCACGTCCATGTCCACGTCCACGTCCACGTCCACCTCCATGTCCACGTCCACGTCCACGTCCACGTCCATGTCCATGTCCACGTCCACGTCCACGTCCACGTCACGTCAACGTCCACGTCCATGTCCACGTCCACGTCCACGTCAACGTCCACGTCCACGTCCACGTCCACTCCACGTCCACGTCCATGTCCACGTCCAAGTCCTCCACGTCCACGTCCACGTCCACGTTCACGTCCATGTCCACGTCCAAGTTCTCCACGTCCACGTCTACGTCCACGTCCACGTCCACGTCCTCCACGTCCACGTCCACGTCCACGTCCATGTCCACGTCCACGTCCACGTCTACGTCTACGTCCACGTCCACGTCCACGTCCGCGTCCACGTCTACGTCCATGTCCACGTCCACGTCCACGTCCACGTCCACGTCCACGTCCACGTCCACGTCCACTCCACGTCCACCTCCACGTCCACGTCCACGCCACGTCCACCTCCACGTCCACGTCCACGTCCACGTCCACGTCCACGTCCACGTCCACGTCCATGTCCACGTCCACGTCCACGTTCACGTCCACGTCCACGTCCAAGTTCTCCACGTCCACGTCCACGTCCATGTCCTCGTCCACGTCCATGTCCACGTCCACGTCTTGTTCACGTCCACGTTCACGTCCACGTCTTGTTCACGTCCACGTCCATGTCCACGTCCATGTCCACGTCCAAGTTCTCCACGTCCACGTCCACGTCCACGTCCTCGTCCACGTCCATGTCCACGTCCACGTCCATGTCCACGTCCATGTTCACGTCCACGTCTTGTTCACGTCCACGTCCATGTCCACGTCCACGTCCACGTCCACGTCCACGTCTACGACCATGTCCACGTCCAGGTCCATGTCCACGTCCACGTCCACGTCCACGTCCATGTCCACGTCCACGTCCACGTCCACGTCCACGTCCATGTCCACGTCCACGTCCACGTCCATGTCCACGTCCAAGTCCTCCACGTCCACGTCCACGTCCACGTTCACGTCCATGTCCACGTCCAAGTTCTCCACGTCCACGTCCACGTCCACGTCCACGTCGTCCACGTCCACGTCCACGTCCACGTCCACGTCCACGTCCATGTCCACGTCCACGTCCACTCCACGTCCACTCCACGTCCACGTCCACGTCCACGTCCACGTCCATGTCCACGTCCATGTCCACGTCCACGTCCACGTCCATGTCCACGTCCATGTCCACGTCCACGTCCACGTCCACCTCCACGTCCACCTCCAGGTCCACCTCCACGTCCACGTCCACGTCCACGTCCACGTCCACATCCACGTCCATGTCTACGTCCACGTCCACGTCCACGTCCACCTCCACGTCCGCCTCCACGTCCGCGTCCACGTCCGCTTCCGCCTCCACGTCCGCGTCCACGTCCACGTCCGCGTCCACGTCCACGTCCACGTCCAGGTCCACGTCCACGTCCAGGTCCACGTTCACGTCCATGTCCACGTCCAAGTTCTCCACGTCCACGTCCACGTCCACGTCCTCGTCCACGTCCACGTCCACGTCCACGTCCACGTCCACGACCATGTCCACGTCCACGTCCATGTCCACGTCCACGTCCACGTCCACGTCCATGTCCAGGTCCACGTCCACGTCCACGTCCACGTCCACGTCCACGTCCATGTCCACGTCCAGGTCCACGTCCACGTCCACGTCCACGTCCATGTCCACGTCCACGTCCACGTCCATGTCCATGTCCAAGTCCTCCACGTCCACGTCAACGTTCACGTCCATGTCCACGTCCAAGTTCTCCACGTCCACGTCCACGTCCTCCACGTCCACGTCCACGTCCACATCCACGTCCACGTCCACGTCCACGTCCCCGTCCAGGTCCACGTTCACGTCCATGTCCACGTCCAAGTTCTCCACGTCCACGTCCTCGTCCACGTCCACGTCCACGTCCACGTCCATGTTCACGTCCACGTCTTGTTCACGTCCATGTCCACGTCCACGTCCACGTCCACGTCCACGTCCACGACCATGTCCACGTCCACGTCCATGTCCACGTCCACGTCCACGTCCATGTCCAGGTCCATGTCCACGTCCACGACCACGTCCATGTCCACGTCCACGTCCATGTCCACGTCCACGTCCATGTCCACGTCCACGTCCACGTCCATGTCCACGTCCAAGTCCTCCACGTCCACGTCCACGTCCAAGTTCACGTCCATGTCCACGCCCAAGTCCTCCACGTCCATGTCCACGTCCACGTTCACGTCCACGTCCACGTCCACGTCCATGTCCACGTCCACGTCCACTCCACGTCCACTCCACGTCCACGTCCACCTCCACGTCCACCTCCACGTCCATGTCCACGTCCATGTCCACGTCCACGTCCACGTCCATGTCCACGTCCATGTCCACGTACACGTCCACGTCCACGTCCATGTCCACGTCCACGTCCACGTCCACGTCCATGTCCACGTCCACGTCCACGTCCACGTCCACGTCCACGTCACGTCCACGTTCACGTCCATGTCCACGTCCACGTCCATGTCCACGTCTAAGTTCACGTCCATGTCCACGTCCAAGTCCTCCACGTCCATGTCCACGTCCACGTTCACGTCCACGTCCACGTCCACGTCCATGTCCACGTCCACGTCCACTCCACGTCCACTCCACGTCCACGTCCACCTCCACGTCCACGTCCACGTCCATGTCCACGTCCATGTCCACGTCCACGTCCACGTCCATGTCCACATCCATGTCCACGTCCACGTCCACCTCCATGTCCACGTCCACGTCCACGTCCAGGTCCACGTCCACGTCCACGTCCACGTCCACGTCACGTCCACGTCCACGTCCATGTCCACGTCCACGTCCACGTCAACGTCCACGTCCACGTCCACTCCACGTCCACGTCCATGTCCACGTCCAAGTCCTCCACGTCCACGTCCACGTCCACGTTCACGTCCATGTCCACGTCCAAGTTCTCCACGTCCACGTCCACGTCCACGTCCACGTCCACGTCCTCCACGTCCACGTCCACGTCCATGCCATGTCCACGTCCACGTCCACGTCCACGTCTACGTCCACGTCCATGTCCACGTCCATGTCCACGTCCACGTCCACGTCCACGTCCATGTCCACGTCCACGTCCACTCCAAGTCCACCTCCACGTCCACGTCCACGTCCACGTCCACGTCCACGTCCACGTCCATGTCCACGTCCAGGTCCACGTTCACGTCCATGTCCACGTCCAAGTTCTCCACGTCCACGTCCACGTCCACGTCCACGTCCACGTCCATGTCCACGTCCACGTCCATGTCCACGTCCATGTTCACGTCCACGTCTTGTTCACGTCCACGTCCATGTCCACGTCCACGTCCACGTCCACGTCCACGTCCACGTCCACGTCCATGACCATGTCCACGTCCACGTCCATGTCCACGTCCACGTCCATGTCCAGGTCCATGTCCACGTCCACGTCCACGTCCACGTTCACGTCCATGTCCACGTCCAAGTTCTCCACGTCCACGTCCACGTTCACGTCCACGTCCTTTACGTCCACGTCCACGTCCACGTCCACGTCCACGTCCACGTCCACGTCCACGTCCACGTCCACGTCCACGACCATGTCCACGTCCACGTCCATGTCCACGTCCACGTCCACGTCCATGTCCAGGTCCATGTCCACGTCCACGTCCACGTCCACGTCCACGTCCATGTCCACGTCCACGTCCACGTCCACGTCCACGTCCACGTCCACGTCGATGTCCACGTCCACGTCCACGTCCACGTCCAAGTCCTCCACGTCCACGTCCACGTCCACGTTCACGTCCATGTCCACGTCCAAGTTCTCCACGTCCACGTCCATGTCCACGTCCACGTCCTCCACGTCCACGTCCACGTCCACGTCCACGTCCTCCACGTCCACGTCCACGTCCACGTCCACGTCCACGTCCACGTCCACATCCACGTCCACGTCCACGTCCACGTCCATGTCCACGTCCACGTCCACTCCACGTCCACTCCACGTCCACGTCCACGTCCACGTCCACGTCCATGACCACGTCCACGTCCACGTCCATGTCCACGTCCACCTCCACGTCCACGTCCACGTCCACCTCCACGTCCACGTCCACGTCCACCTCCATGTCCACGTCCACGTCCACGTCCATGTCCACGTCCACGTCCACGTCCACGTCACGTCCACGTCCACGTCCATGTCCACGTCCACGTCAACGTCCACGTCCACGTCCACGTCCATTCCACGTCCACGTCCATGTCCACGTCCAAGTCCTCCACGTCCACGTCCACGTCCACGTTCACGTCCATGTCCACGTCCAAGTTCTCCACGTCCACGTCCACGTCCACGTCCACGTCCACGTCCACGTCCTCTACGTCCACGTCCACGTCCACGTCCACGTCCATGTCCACGTCCACGTCCACGTCCACGTCCATGTCCACGTCCACGTCCACGTCCACGTCTATGTCCACGTCCATGTCCACGTCCACGTCTACGTCCACGTCCACGTCCACGTCCACGTCCATGTCCACGTCCACGTCCACGTCCACGTCCACGTCCACGTCCACGTCCACGTCCACGTCCACGTCCACGTCCACTCCACGTCCACCTCCACGTCCACGTCCACCTCCACGTCCACGTCCACGTCCACGTCCACGTCCACGTCCACGTCCACGTCCACGTCCATGTCCACGTCCAGGTCCACGTTCACGTCCATGTCCACGTCCAAGTTCTCCACGTCCACGTCCACGTCCACGTCCACGTCCACGTCCATGTCCACGTCCACGTCCATGTCCACGTCCATGTTCACGTCCACGTCTTGTTCACGTCCACGTCCATGTCCACGTCCACGTCCACGTCCACGTCCACGACCATGTCCACGTCCACGTCCATGTCCACGTCCACGTCCATGTCCAGGTCCATGTCCACGTCCACGTCCACGTCCACGTCCATGTCCACGTCCACGTCCACGTCCACGTCCACGTCCACGTCCATGTCCACGTCCACGTCCACGTCCATGTCCACGTCCATGTCCTCCATGTCCACGTCCACGTCCACGTTCACGTCCATGTCCACGTCCAAGTTCTCCACGTCCACGTCCACGTCCACGTCCACGTCCTCCACGTCCACGTCCACGTCCACGTCCACGTCCACGTCCACGTCCATGTCCACGTCCACGTCCACTCCAGCTCCACTCCACGTCCACGTCCACGTCCACGTCCACGTCCATGTCCACGTCCATGTCCACGTCCACGTCCACGTCCACGTCCACGTCCATGTCCACGTCCACGTCCACGTCCACCTCCATGTCCACGTCCACGTCCACGTCCACGTCCACGTCCACGTCACGTCCACGTCCACGTCCATGTCCACGTCCACGTCCACGTCAACGTGCACGTCCACGACCACGTCCACTCCACGTCCACGTCCATGTCCACGTCCAAGTCCTCCACGTCCACGTCCACGTCCACGTTCACGTCCATGTCCACGTCCAAGTTCTCCACGTCCACGTCCACGTCCACGTCCACGTCCACGTCCACTCCACGTCCACCTCCACGTCCACGTCCACCTCCACGTCCACGTCCACGTCCACGTCCATGTCCACGTCCAGGTCCACGTTCACGTCCATGTCCACGTCCAAGTTCTCCACGTCCACGTCCACGTCCACATCCACGTCCACGTCCACGTCCATGTCCACGTCCACGTCCATGTCCACGTCCATGTTCACGTCCACGTCTTGTTCACGTCCACGTCCATGTCCACGTCCACGTCCACGTCCACGTCCACGACCATGTCCACGTCCACGTCCATGTCCACGTCCACGTCCACGTCTATGTCCATGTCCAGGTCCACGTCCATGTCCACGTCCACGTCCATGTCCATGTCCATGTCCACGTCCATGTCCACGTCCACGTCCACGTCCATGTCCACGTCCACGTCCACGTCCACGTCCACGACCATGGGTCCACGTCCACGTCCATGTCCACGTCCACGTCCACGTCCACGTCCAGGTCCACGTCCACGTCCACGTCCACGTCCACGTCCATATCCATGTCCACGTCCACGTCCATGTCCACGTCCACGTCCACGTCCACGTCGACGTCCTCCACGTCCACGTCCACGTCCACGTCCACGTCCACGTCCACGTCCACGTCCACGTCCACGTCCACGTCCACTCCACGTCCACTCCACGTCCACGTCCACGTCCACGTCCATGTCCACGTCCATGTCCACGTCCACGTCCACGTCCACGTCCACGTCCATGTCCACGTCCACGTCCACGTCCACCTCCATGTCCACGTCCACGTCCACGTCCATGTCCACGTCCACGTCCACGTCCACGTCACGTCCACGTCCACGTCCAGGTCCACGTCCACGTCCACGTCAACGTCCACATCCACGTCCACGTCCACTCCACGTCCACGTCCATGTCCACGTCCAAGTCCTCCACGTCCACGTCCACGTTCACGTCCATGTCCACGTCCAAGTTCTCCACGTCCACGTCCATGTCCACGTCCACGTCTTGTCCACGTCCACGTCCATGTCCACGTCCACGTCCACGTCCACGTCCACGACCATGTCCGCGTCCACGTCCACGTCCATGTCCACGTCCACGTCCACGTCCATGTCCAGGTCCATGTCCACGTCCACGTCCACGTCCACGTCCACGTCCACGTCCATGTCCACGTCCACGTCCACGTCCATGTCCACGTCCAAGTCCTCCACGTCCATATCCACGTCCACGTTCACGTCCATGTCTACGTCCAAGTTCTCCACGTCCACGTCCACTCCACGTCCACTCCACGTCCACGTCCACGTCCACGTCCATGTCCACGCCCATGTCCACGTCCACGTCCACGTCCACGTCCACGTCCACGTCCACGTCCATGTCCACGTCCACGTCCATGTCCACGTCCACGTCCACGTCCACGTCCACGTCCACGTCCACGTCCATGTCCACGTCCACGTCCACGTCCATGTCCACGTCCAAGTCCTCCACGTCCATATCCACGTCCACGTTCACGTCCATGTCTACGTCCAAGTTCTCCACGTCCACGTCCACGTCCACGTCCACGTCCACGTCCACTCCACGTCCACTCCACGTCCACGTCCACGTCCACGTCCACGTCCACGTCCACGTCCATGTCCACGTCCACGTCCACGTCCACCTCCACGTCCACCTCCATGTCCACGTCCACGTCCACGTCCACGTCCACGTCCACGTCACGTCCACGTCCACGTCCACGTCACGTCCACGTCCACGTCCATGTCCACGTCCACGTCCACGTCAACGTCCACGTCCACGTCCACGTCCACTCCACGTCCACGTCCATGTCCACGTCCAAGTCCTCCACGTCCACGTCCACGTCCACGTTCACGTCCATGTCCACGTCCAAGTTCTCCACGTCCACGTCCACGTCCTCGTCCACGTCCACGTCCACGTCCTCCACGTCCACGTCCACGTCCACGTCCATGTCCACGTCCACGTCCACGTCTACGTCTACGTCCACGTCCATGTCCACGTCCACGTCCACGTCCACGTCCACGTCCACGTCCATGTCCACGTCCACGTCCACGTCCACGTCCACTCCACGTCCACCTCCACGTCCACGTCCACCTCCACGTCCACGTCCACGTCCACGTCCACGTCCACGTCCATGTCCACGTCCAGGTCCACGTTCACGTCCATGTCCACGTCCAAGTTCTCCACGTCCACGTCCACGTCCACGTCCACGTCCACGTCCAAGTCCTCCACGTCCACGTCCTCCACGTCCACGCCCACGTCCACGTCCGCGTCCACGTCCACGTCCATGTCCACGTCCACGACCATGTCTACGTCCATGTCCACGTCCACGTCCGCGTCCACGACCACGTCCACGTCCACGTCCACGTCCGCGTCCACGTCGACGTCCACGTCTACGTCCATGTCCACGTCCATGTGCGCGTCTAGTTACCTTTCAAACCCTTACGTTCACTAGATGAATTTATTTCCTACCTTCTATTTGAGTGAGACCACTAGATTCCGTGTACTATGCGAGATCTGAGCGCTTCCGTTCTCCCTGGCATTTGCACTCTAAGTTCCCATACTGACCGACCTGGCCAATGCACCATTTTCCATATACATATGCATTAGATTCCTTTCGAACCTTATTAGCTCACTAGATTTATATATTTCCCACCTTCTGATCGAGTGAGAGTGCTAGATTCCCTTTACTTTTTGAGAAATGAGCGTTTCCATTCTCCTTGGCCCTACTTGCACTATAAGTGCGAAATGCCGGCCAGACTGGCCGATGCTCCATTTTCTCTACACATGTGCGTTAGTTACCTTTCAAACCCTTACGTTCACTAGATGAATTTATTTCCTACCTTCTATTTGAGTGAGACCACTAGATTCCGTGTACTATGCGAGATCTGAGCGCTTCCGTTCTCCCTGGCATTTGCATTTTAAGTTCCGATACTGACCGACCTGGCCAATGCACCATTTTTTCTATACATGTGCGTTGAATACATTTCAAACCTTTTTAGCTGACTAGATTTATATATTTCCCACCTTCTGATCGAGTGAGACCGTTAGATTCCTTCTACTTTTTGAGAAACGAGCATTTCCGTTCTACCTGGCCCCACCTGCACTATGAGTGCGAAATGCCGGCCAGACTGGCCGATGCACCATTTTCTCTACACATGTGCATTAGTTACCTTTCAAACCCTTACGTTCACTAGATGTATATATTTCCTACCTTATATTTGAGTGAGACCACTAGATTCCGTGTATTATGCGAGATCTGGGCGGTTCCATTCTCCCAGGCATTTGCACTCTAAGTTCCCATACTGACCGACCTGGCCAATGCACCACTTTCCATATACATATGCATTAGATTCCTTTTGAACCTTATAAGCTCACTAGATTTTTATATTTCCCACCTTCTGATCGAGTGAGAGTGCTAGATTCCCTTTACTTTTTGAGAAATGAGCGTTTCCGTTCTCCTCGGCCCTACTTGCACTATAAGTGCGAAATGCCGGCCAGACTGGCCGATGCACCATTTTCTCTACACATGTGCGTTAGTTACCTTTCAAACCCTTACGTTCACTAGATGAATTTATTTCCTACCTTATATTTGAGTGAGACCACTAGATTCCGTGTATTATGCGAGATCTGAGCGGTTCTGTCTCCCAAGCATTTGCACTCTAAGTTCCCATACTGACCGACCTGGCCAATGCACCACTTTCCATATACATATGCATTAGATTCCTTTCGAACCTTATTAGCTCACTAGATTTATATATTTCCCACCTTCTGATCGAGTGAGACCGCTAGATTCCCTTTACTTTTTTAGAAATGAGCGTTTCCGTTCTCCTTGGCCCTACTTGCACTATAAGTGCGAAATGCCGGCCAGACAGGCCGATGCACCATTTTCTCCACACATGTGCGTTAGTTACCTTTCAATCCCTTACGTTCACTAGATGAAATTATTTCCTACCTTCTATTTGAGTGAGACCACTAGATTCCGTGTACTATGCGAGATCTGAGCGGTTCCGTTCTCCCAGGCATTTGCACTCTAAGTTGCCATACTGACCGACCTGGCCAATGCACCAGTTTCCATATACATATGCATTAGATTCCTTGTGAACCTTATAAGCTGACTAGATTTATATATTTCCCACCTTCTGATCGAGTGAGACCGCTAGATTCCCTTTACTTTTTGAGAAATGAGCGTTTCCGTTCTCCTTGGCCCTACTTGCACTATAAGTGCGAAATGCCGGCCAGACTGGCCGACGCACCACTTTCTCTACACATGTGCGTTAGTTACCTTTTAAAACCTTACGTTCACTAGATGAATTTATTTCCTACCTTCTATTTGAGTGAGACCACTAGATTCCGTGTACTATGCGAGATCTGAGCGCTTCCGTTCTCCCTGGCATTTGCACTCTAAGTTCCCATAATGACCGACCTGGCCAATGCACCGTTTTCCATATACATATGCATTAGATTCCTTTCGTACCTTATTAGCTCACTAGATTTATATATTTCCCACCTTATGATCGAGTGAGACCGCTAGATTCCCTTTACTTTTTGAGAAATGAGTGTTTCCGTTCTCCTTGGCCCTACTTGCACTATAAGTGCGAAATGCCGGCCAGACTGGCCGATGCACCATTTTCTCTACACATGTGCGTTAGTTACCTTTCAAACCCTTACGTTCACTAGATGAATTTATTTCCTACCTTATATTTGAGTGAGACCACTAGATTCCGTGTACTATGCGAGATCTGAGCACTTCCGTTCTCCTTGGCATTTGCACTCTAAGTTCCCATACTGACCGACCTGGCCAATGCACCATTTTCCATATACATATGCATTAGATTCCTTTCAAACCTTATTAGCTCACTAGATTTATATATTTCCCACCTTTTGATCGAGTGAGACCGCTAGATTCCCTTTACTTTTTGAGAAATGAGCGTTTCCGTTCTCCTTGGCCCTACTTGCACTATAAGTGCGAAATGCCGGCCAGACTGGCCGATGCACCATTTTCTCTACACATGTGCGTTAGTTACCTTTCAAACCCTTACGTTCACTAGATGAATTTATTTCCTACCTTCTATTTGAGTGAGACCACTAGATTCCGTGTACTATGCGAGATCTGAGCGCTTCCGTTCTCCCTGGCATTTGCACTCTAAGTTCCTTTACTGACCGACCTGGCCAATGCACCATTTTCCATATACATATGTATTAGATTCCTTTCGAACCTTATTAGCTCACTAGATTTATATATTTCCCACCTTATGATCGAGTGAGACCGCTAGATTCCCTTTACTTTTTGAGAAATGAGTGTTTCCGTTCTCCTTCGCCCTACTTGCACTATAAGTGCGAAATGCCGGCCAGACTGGCCGATGCACCATTTTCTCTACACATGTGCGTTAGTTACCTTTCAAACCCTTACGTTCACTAGATGAATTTATTTCCTACCTTCTATTTGAGTGAGACCACTAGATTCCGTGTACTATGCGAGATCTGAGCACTTCCGTTCTCCCTGGCATTTGCACTCTAAGTTCCCATACTGACCGACCTGGCCAATGCACCATTTTCCATATACATATGCATTAGATTCCTTTCGAACCTTATTAGCTCACTAGATTTATATATTTCCCACCTTCTGATCGAGTGAGACCGCTAGATTCCCTTTACTTTTTGAGAAATGAGCGTTTCCGTTCTCCTTGGCCCTACTTGCACTATAAGTGCGAAATGCCGGCCAGACTGGCCGATGCACCATTTTCTCTACACATGTGCGTTAGTTACCTTTCAAACCCTTACGTTCACTAGA